GAAATTTGGGGCTGCCTTTCCCGCACAGTATGTTCGCCTCTCAAATCTTCCCCGGCTCCCATTTCCATATTTCTGCGTGCTTGTTCTTTGTTAATCACTTGGCAAGCGCTTATTTGAATATTAAAAATTTCTTTAATCATCAAAGGCAGGAGCACAGTCTCATGAATATTCATATTTCCCCCCCCCTCCTCAGACTGGATTCTAGTTCATTACCCTGCAGTAAAAGCCAAACAACCATCAATCGCCCTCATTACAGGCTCTGGCGTTTTGATTGGCTGCTGCTGCCCAGAGATTTTTATTTTTTAAATTTTTTCCCCTTCTCCTATGAGCTGTCTGGTACCTGCCAAAGGCGCCTCCCTCCACACCCTCCAAAAAAATCAACAATGCAAGAGTAAATTTCTCTGGTTGAAAAACAACTTTGCAAACTTGTCAAACAGTCCTTGTGCCTTGCTGTCACCTCAGAGGCCGCCAGCACCACCTCCTTCCCCGCGTCTTTCTGGCCCCCTACCACCCTCCCCCGAAAAACTCAGATAAAAAAGGGGGAGGGACAGGAGAGGAAATTAAATAAATAAAAAAGGGAGAAACTTGAGCCTCAGAGATGAATATTTGTCAAGAGAGTTGACGTAAGTTTCATTTGCATAATGACTTTGTACTTCTGCATTAATAAAATTTGCATATGAAGCCATGTTAATTACTCCTGATCATGCTTTTTGCATTCATGCATAGTAATTTTCTCCGACTTGTGAGAATTAATGTCTTGGCATGGGGGGAGGGGGCGCGGGGACTGTCAGGTTCCCCTGCCAGTGTCCTCGCTCGCGCGCGCTGGCTCCCTGTCTGTCCCCTGCCTTGATCTATGACTCATTTCTACACCATCAGTAGGAGTTCTCGCCTTAAAAAAATGTATCCGTTGAAAGGCACCAGTAGGGAGAAAAATAGAGCTCTCCCGCACAGTGTATTCCGGGCCACCTCTCCGGCTGGGAACACGGGGCCTGCAGCCCTCCCAGCTGGGACGCAGCGGCATCAGGGCGCGCTGTGT